AAGGAGAAGAATCCCAAGATAATGGCATGGACCAGATCTTCAACAGAATCATGGAAGAAAATTTCCCCAAATTAAAGAAAGACATGCCCATATAAATACAAGAAGCATATAGAACACCAAACAGACAGGACCAGAAAAGAAACTCTCCATGCCACATCACAGTAAAAACACTAAACATACAAAACAAAGAGACAATACTGAAAGCTGCAAAAGAGAAACAACAAGTCACATATAAAGGAAAACCCATTAGTATTACAGCTGACTTTTCAGTGCAAACTCTGAAAGCCAGGAGAGCCTGGACCAAAATATTCCCATTTTTAAATGACCACAGATGCCAACCCAGATTACTATACCCAGCCAAAATGTCTATTACAGTCAAAAGGGAAAGAAAAATCTTCCATGACATAAATAGGCTGAAGGAATTCATGTCCACAAAGCCATTCCTTCAGAGAGTTCTTGAAGCAGTACAAAGAGCTGAAGAAAGGAACCACTATACCCAAGGGGTTGTAGAAAGAAATTCAATGAAGGTATAACTGAGCAAAAGTACAGCTATATCAAGAATGTAAACAGAAATAAAAATGAAGGATTCGTGAATGGCACTAAGAAAAAAGCAGGCATAGCAATTCTAATATCTGACAAAATAGACTTTAAACTAAAACTAATCAGAAAAGATAAAGAGGGTCACTTCATTCTGATCAAAGGAACAATAAACCAAGAATATAATACAATCATGAACATATATTCACCAAACTCTGCTGCGCCCAACTTCATAAAAACAATACTACAGGACTTTAAGACCCAGATTAACCCCAACTCATTAATAGCAGGCGACTTCAATACCACACTGTCTCCATTTGATAGGTCAACAGGGCAGAGAGTTAACAGAGATACAATAAACCAAACGATATTACAACCATGAACATATATTCACCATACTCTCGTGCACACAACTTCATAAAAACAGTACTACAGGACTTTAAGACCCAGATTAATCCTAACTCATTAATAGTGGGGGACTTCAATACCCCACTGTCTCCATTAGATAAGTCAACAGGACAGAGAATTAACAGAGAAACATCTGAATTAAACAATACCATATATCAAAAGGACTTAACAGACATCTACTGAGTATTCCACGCAAGCACCAAAGGAAATACTTTCTATTCGGCACCCCATGTAACCTTTTCCAAAATCGACCATATACTGGGGCATAAAACAAATGTCAACAAATACAAAAAGATTTAAATAATTC